TTCAGTGGCTCATGGTTGACTTCAGCTGGGGAGGAGAAAACCCTAACTACTTTTCAAAGCTCCGTGTGACGTGGGCATTCATTTTGCTTTCTGACATGGAAGAAGAATTTCTGGAGAAAATGTATACTTCTGCTAACATGCTAGCATTATCTTCTGAATCTTCTAACATGGGTTAGATCCCATTGCTTTCCCCAGCGGCCCCTCTCATTCATTCTAGAAAGTGGCGCAGCCATTAGGAACAGTCTCTGTCACCAAGTCTAACGTGGCTGCCCTTAAATGTGTGTCCCCGAGAAAAACAGCAACAGGGTTTCTTTCCTCTCTTATACAAGAAGGTGACTTGAGTCACACAAGGGAGGTGTCGTGGGTTAACTGTGTCCCCCTAAAAGAGATGTTGCAGTCCTAACCCCAGTACCTGTGAATGTGACCTTATCTGGAAATAGGGCCTTTGTAAATGTAATCAGGTTAAGATGAAGTTGACTGGAGTGGGGTGGGTCCTTACCCATGGTTGGTGTCCTTACAAGGAGAGGGAAGTTGGGGTCTAGGGACACAGGAAGAAGACCACATGCCTCTGGAGGCAGAGATTGGGATGGTGCATCTACAAGCCAGGATCACCAAGGATTTCTGGCAGCACAAGCAGCTAGGGAGAGGCACAGAACAGGTCCCTTCTCAGAGCCTCCAGCAGGCTTAACCATGCAGACAACTTGCTTTCAGACTTCTGGCCCCCAGAACTGTGAGAGAGTACATTTCTGTTGCTCTAAGCTCACCCAGCTGGTGGTAATGCTACGGCAGCCCCAGGAAACGAATACAGAAAGTGAGTACTTTTTTTCCTTAAACATAACACTGGGGTCATCTAAGATGGGAAGGTGATGTCCCAGCTCTGCGGGGGACGCAGCCAGGCTTCTGAGCTGGTGGCCCAGGACAGACGAGGAATCAGCGATAGTTCCCATGACACCTACTGGTCTGAGGGTGAATCCACAGCCATGCCCACGCTGCCTGGATTAGCTCATCCAAAGGGCTGATAAAAACCAACCCTTGGCCAGAAAAAGCTCTGGGGAAGGGATAGGCATTCGCTGAGCAATCAAAGACAAAGAACAGAAGTGTGGGACAGTATGTTCAGCGCGGGGGCTCTAAGATCTCCTTGTGTTAGAGTAGAAATTGCAAGGAATCAGAAATGGGAATAGAAACACCAAATATAAGGAATGTGCTTTTCAAATGGTGAGGAGCTGAGCAAATATGAGGTATTTCCATCATCACCCATCTTAGTGGGTCAGTGAGAAGATGAGTAAGTGTGCAAATCAAAAGCCTATTGATATTTCCTGGAAAATCATTATAAAGTGTTGCATCATAACACAGTATTTTGGATGCATCTAGCTTCAATGCCAGACCCTAGAGGTCTGGAAAGAAATCTAAACATCTGTACATTAAATATGTGGGTGAATTTCCACAAGGTTCTACAGCATCTGGTTTACAGGCGTTCCTCATGCAAGCATTCAGTGACCATCTGAAACCCATGTCTTGTAGACAGAAATACTGGCACACGTAGGAGGGCCTCGCTAGGTAAGGAGGGGGCATAAGCATTGCAAACGTGAGTCTTTCCTCACCTATGCTATTTTAATCTATTGTGTGCAAAAGTATAAAAATAATGTATGCCTTTTAAAATTTTTACATCATAAAAATTAAGAATTTAAGAATTACAGGGGTTCCTGGGTGGCTCGGTTGGTTAAGCATCTGCCTTCGGCTCAAGTCATGATCTTGGGGTCCTGGGATGGAGCCAGAGTTTGGGGGGGGGTCCCTGCTTAGCAGGGAACCTGCTTCTCCCTCCACCCCCTCCGCTTGTGTGCATGAGCACTCTCTAATAAATAAAATCTTTAAAAAATATATGGAAATACAGAAATGACAAGCCTCGAGAAAGCACAGACTAAACATTAAGAAGCATTGGAGAAGACAGCACAGAATGATGAGACTAAGTTAGTATGATGATGAGGGTGGAGATCACCGCACGCCAGGGGAAGGACCACACGCCAAAGGGCCAGTTACACAGCCGCACTCCCTGCAGACAACTGACAGTGCCAGTCAGCTGGGATTCAGTCACCACGCCAAGCACCGTCCTATAAGTTAAGGGGACAGGGCCACAGCAGATGGACTAACCAAAACCCCCCATAATGGAAGGTGCATAGACCGGCAGGAGGCGTTTATATGCGGGTGTTGCAACTTTGCGATCTTGTAGCCACTCGCATGATCCCCAGCCCCGCCGACCCCCCAGCGTGACGGCCCGAGGCTGCTCTGACTGGGCATCTGTCTTGGCTGGTTGCTGTCCGCCCTGTCCTGGTTCTAAATCCTTGGGCTACAACCTCCTCCTCTGTCCACACTGAACCGTTCACAGCTCCCTGTGGGACGGGCCGAGCAGTTGTGAACAGGAAGTGTTCCCAGATCTCCCCTCCCCTAATTCACAGAGAATCCACTAATGTCATTATGTTTTTCTTCAGCCCAGATGGGGAGGATTCGTTGGTGGTGGTGCTGTTCTGGCTGCATCTCAGAGGCCACGTTAATCTACCCAGTGGTGCAGGAGCAGAGAAGGAAAGCCTCTCGAGCCGGGGGTGGGGACATTATTTTGGTCAGAGGCTTATAGGAGTCTCCAGAGTAGCTTTGGGGTATGAAAGAAACACACAGGGGATGAAGTTTAATGACTGCTACTATGGGCTACACATGTGGGCCTACTTTAATCTCTGCTGAGAAACATGGGGATAAATAGAATTATTGAGACTTAATTTTGGTTGTTAAATGGGACTTCTTAAATGCAATCCTCTGCTGGACAGGTGGGGGCTCCCAGGCTGAGTGGGGGGATCCTCCCTACAAGTCAGCACTCCACTGGACGGATGGGGGCTCCCAGGCTGAGTGGGGGGATCCTCCCT